TGGCAAGTAAGAAATTCAGGAATTAAATAACTAATAGTGGAATCATGTCATAAGTAATAACCGTATAGCGATGAGCTGTATGGAGAACGCTAGAACTGTTATAACGAAGCAAATGGTCCGCGACAGCCGCGTGCGGCCGATCGAATACACAAAGCGTTTCTACTGCCCGTCTCCCGGGTGGAACCACTAACTAGTACAACGACCAAATCAATGCATGAGCCAGTCACCATTTAAACGCTATTAATGTGAATTGAATGTTGAGTGCATCTCAGACTGAAAGCGGTAAAAGCTGGAAACATCGTTGCTGATTATTATCTACATACCGCAACATTCTCCTTCATGACTCCTGGTGATTTCCTTGCAGTTTGTGGAGTCACCGGCTCCGTTTGACGAATAGCCTGGAAAATGTTTATGTTTTCAGGCTATATCTTTTCCAGACGAGACGTCAAGTGGTCGAGGATGCTGCTTGATATGGTTTCACAGGGCTATACGCCAAACAGCCAACTTTCATTCCGCTTACTATTTGTTACCATTAGCATTTATCATGCACTGCCACTACAACCTTTATCATTTGCTGCTGCAACTGCTCCAGCATACATATGAACGATAGGCAACACACTCAGCAATGCCTGCCCTTTCGGACTTTTTCAAGACAACAGATGGCGCTTACGTACCTTCAAGCGATCCCTTTTAGCTTATTCAGTATTACCATTTTCTGCTATGAAATCGATCTTCCGCCTTTCCATGCCATCCCTTATAGTTTCACAGCGATGAAGTCTCCACTGCTATACGAGAAGCACTGAGAATCTAACGATAAAGATCCTTGGATTCCGCAGCTCCTTACCAGATTTATTGGTAAATATCATCTTGCGCTACCTGTCATCTGCGTCCCCACTCCATCACACCTCTATCTACTGTGTGCTTTGATTTTCTTGGCTGCTTTCAGAGTTTGCGTCCGACAGTGCGTCCGTGTGTGCGTCCAACCAACGGCGGCGCTAGCCACTTGTTAACAACCGCGTGACCCATCCAGTGTTGTCAACACATATCCAACAACGCCGTCACCCGGTCGGTCGGTCGGACAGTCGGACGCATGTACGCACGGTGGGACGCGCACACGGAAGACGCATCGGTGAACTCTGGAAGCAACCCTCCGTCTAAAAAAAGAGTTCATCACCTCCTGCTCTTGAGCTCGCGGCTAGAAACACAACAGAAACAACGTGCTTAGCGAATACGTAGGTTGCCTTTTATATTTCGAGATTAGAGAACAAAAATAAATATTAAGCATTGGAAACTGCTTCATTGTTTTTCAAAACATTCCCCATTGAGGTCTATATACTTTTGCATTCGTTTGAACCAACTGTCGAAGCACTTTTGCCACTCTGATCGAGGTATCTCCAAAACATGCATTCTGAACGATCCCACTTCTTTAGGTGTCGAAAAACGCTGACCTCTCATTTTCTTTTTTACGTACGGGAAAAAGGAAGTCATTCGATGCTAAACCAGGACTATATGACGGATTGCTCATCAAATCGTTGTTTAGAGTGCTCAAAAATGCAGTTGTTTGAGCCGATGTGTGAGAGCTCGCAATGTCNTCAAATGTTCATGCAATATTGAATGTACTGGTCCCTCTGATGCCTAATGTTGTCTCAATCTCACGATAGGTTGGTTACATGACGATCTTGCAACATTAGTTTGCGCACAGCATCGGAACAACAACTGGCTTTCGACGATCTCCACAAAAGTCTTTTTGGAGTGAACTACGACCTCGGATGAATTCACCGTACCATCGTTAGACATTAGCCCTTTATGGCCAAAGATTGAACTAAGTTCATCCATTCAGTGTTGTTGAGTTAATCCACGTCGAAAATTGCAAAAAATAATCGCACGAAAATGTTCACGATTTAATTCCATTTTTTAGCCTAAATATATCTTTTAAGTTAAGTTTTTCTGGGTACGTACAACCTCAGAAAGACCAAACTTTACGATAGAGCTGTCAGTTGCCAAATCGCAACACTAGGGTTGCCTAATCTCGAAATATAAAAGGCAACCCTCGTAATACGTGTGTGAAGGGGTGAAATCGTTACCCATTAGGCAATACTTCGATTACCTTATTGGATTCACCTCACTTCTTTACTTTCTCTTTCAGTCGCACATTGATCAAAAACTTCATATATGTAAGTGCTATTCAAGGCTACAAAACCAAGAAGTTGGGCTATAAAACGGAGAAGTTCAAAATGAGTTGGGTAACGGGTAGACTTCTCAACCGCCTAGATGATTTTCGATTGCGAATTTCTTAATGAACCAAGTTTTCGTGGATGCGAATGTCGCTGCCTACGGCTAATAACGTCTGCCGTGGAGAGAGACATTCCACACCTAACGCTGATCTATGGGAAAATCGAAGGTGCAAGGAGATGTGAAGACTGTATCAAACGGGCGCCTCGAGGCTGTGAAGGAAGAACTTCCAGTGTAGAAAACGCTTGTTGAAATCGTCTACGTAGAACAACACAGAGCTGTTCATCTTACAAAGCAAAATAGGCGAGAGACTGTAACCCACCGCAGCATTCTCGACCGCCTTTGACGTGACTGTAGCGTGATGTGATTCTGGCACCGCTGTAGTTCCGATAGTCTAAAAGTAATTAGCTTCGCTACACTTGAGCTGAAAGCTGACATTGCTCGAAGCAACCCGTACTAATGCTCACCCCAACGTTTTCCACTGAACTCCCACGTGTCACAGATGCACGTCCAGTCTCCGGTATCGGGGTCTTCCTGATCGCCTGCAAATAATCCTTCACAAATCAGACACCAGATGTTTTAGTTTGGAAGAAAAGTTTTTAACAGATGCACGTCCAGTCTCCGGTATCGGGGTCTTCCTGATCGCCTGCAAATAATCCTTCTCAAACCAGACACCAAATATTTTAGTTTGGAAGAATAGTTTTTATATATACTGGCCAATTGTAGGACCATTGCCGATATTAACGGCTCCATGAGACGGCGGGAAACTGTACAAGAGGAGTGTTTTCAAGCAAGGCTCAAGTGCCGGTTATTTGTCTTCTATATACTCGTATGTCTGCCCCGATTTTGAATATCCAATTCGGAAAAAGATATATTCTCAAAGGGCTGTGTTTTTCCACTGTCGCAAGGAGTCATACCTCATGACACGGAAACCCTGCGGTCTGACCCTCTGACTCTGACAGAAAGCAAACAGAATATTGAATCGTGAGGTTTTCCATCAGACTTCATTGGGAACTCTTCCAAACGGTTCCGTCTATGATTTTGGTCCTACGTCTTCTTGAACAAAGTGCAAGACAGTGGATCACTAAACCAGTACGGCTTTCTTTCCTCGCTCGTCAGTAAACCAACATATTTCATTCAAACCTTGAGTTGAATGCCTTTGATGGCGTTTCACAGAAAATCTAGAGCCTGTAGGACCTCATTCGGTCACTAAGTTTAGTTTAACTGAGATTTTGGTAAGCATGGATACATGGAATATTGTACGGCGTTACTGAACCAGAGCAAGTGCCAGATTGGGGACGTCAAAAATCTGGATTTGTTTGCTTGAAGAGTCAAGGCACAACCGTATAACGTTATAGAAATGAAAGCAAATATGAGCATTAGCTATAACTGACCGCAGCGTTCTCTACTGCCGTCGACGTGACCGTTGCGCGATGTGACTCGGGCAGGGATGTTGTTCCAATGGTCTGAAAATAATTGATTTTGCTCAGGATGAAAGACTTCCTCCTTCTTCTTTGAGAAATCTTTGAGAAATTTGAAGGTGTCATTCATGACTCTCGACGTTTCCAATCCCTGATCATTTAGAAATTTCTATGTTCGCCCTTCTTGAAACTAGGGCATTTTCACTAT